GGCTTACCTGGGACTGCTCGAGCTGTCAGCTGCCCGGGACAAGTACGAGGAGCTCTGTGTCCCTATGGTTATGGTCCCCGCCACGGTCTCCAACAATGTGCCGGGCTCCGATTTCAGCATCGGCGCAGACACCGCTCTGAACACCATCACCGACGTAAGTCTGTGCGGTCAGCAAAGCAGGTGCTGCAGACGCTAACCCGGAGGGCGCCTGGCCCGCTTTTATTTGCCGTGCACTAGAGACTGTGAGATCTGGGCTTGTTTCCAGAAAAATCTTTTTTCTTTCCTTTTTTTTTTTAAAGCCTGACCATCTCTAATCCAATGCCCAGAGTTGTTTTATCACCACCTCTTGTCCTGTGCGGCGGCCAGGATGATGGGTCCCTGCCGAGGCCCATCGAGCGACACAGAGCATCTGCAGCCCAGCTCGTTGTGGGCTAGGGTTTTGTGATTTGGATAATCATTGAAGTTAGGTTTCTTTTGGCTGGGCCAAACTGACTTCACTCCCATAACATTATTTATTAATTTTTTAAAGATTTTATTTATTTGAGAGATAGTGACAGAGACAGTGAGAGAGAGCAGAGAGGGAGAGGGAGAAGCAGACTTCCCGCTGAGCAGGGAGCCCGATGTGGAGCTTGATCCCAGGACCCTGGGATCATCACCTGAGCCTAAGGCAGACGCTTAACGACTGAGCCACCCAGGCGCAGAGGCCGCGTGCAGCTCCCGGGGGAAGGCGCTGGGTGGCACCACTCTCGATGCCCCCCCCCCCCCACCGAGACCTCACTGCAAAACCCAGCTGAATGCTCTTTGCGCTTTTAGCCTTTTTTTGTAAAAGCCAAAATCCTCTTTGGATTTCTCTGTTAGCGGAAACAGGGACCAGGACACCTCCTGCTTCCTTTGTGGGGGGCGTGGGCTATGGAGTTTACCGAAGTTTACAGAAAGAGCAGTTTTGTAAGTTCTGTTTTCTAGGAAATTTTCTGGTGCCCATGGCACTTTAACTCCCTTTACTGCGGACACCTGACCTCACCCCCGTTTTCCTGACCAGTCTGACCAGACCTGTGTCCGTTTCATTTCTAACCTTTGACTAAAAAAACAGCAAGGCCAATAGATCCAACCTAATTTTAGTCTTCAAAGAACGGACTCTGGCTTTGATTGTTTCCACTTTGGGATTTTTCCCCACTTCACCTGAGGATGCTCATCTTACCTTGAGGCCTCCCCATCTGTGCACACATGAGCCTCGGCTTCCGATGCCATCTCACCGGAGCCGGCTCTTTCTGCGATGGCAGCCAGTGACACCCTGTCTCCCCAGCACCGAGAAGCATGCGCCTTCCTTCCTTAGCTCTGGGGGCAAACCGCTAAGCGCAGGTAAACCCGCCCCTCTCGGGGGGGGAGTGTGCAGGGCGAGGGGCCGCGCCATGACCCAGGCGCCTCCTCGTCCCTGCCCTCCCCCGCTCTAGCCCTGTGGGGGCTCAGCAGTACCGGAGCCAACAGCCCCCGAGGAAGCACAGTCGTGCGCCGGGTCCCTGGGCTCGTTGCCCACCTCATCTGCAGGCTCCCGAGTGCGCAGGGGCCCCGCCTCCTGCCCAGGCCGTCTGAGTTCTTCTCTGCCCCCACCAGGATTCTGCTCCGCACCGTCGGCAAACCTCCTTTTCTCCCTCACCTCTCCACCTGTCCTCAACGTTACCAATCATTTGTTCTGACATCACTCTTTTTCTCTTTTACAGGAAGAAGATTTATGAGCGATGATTCCATCTGTGTGCTGGGAATAAGCAAGAGAAACCTTCTTTTCCAACCTGTGGCCCAGCTGAGGCAGGAGACGGACTTTGAGTAAGTAAATAAGCCCTCTCCAGTCTACACCTCAGTGCCGGGGCAGGAGTGCGCAACAGGGCGGAAGGACGCCGCTGCGGGAGGTATGGACATGAACCCGTTCTCATGATCTAGAAAACACAAGCCTTTGAGAAACAGGGCAGGATTTCTAGAAACACACAGAATGGTTCCCAGTAGCTTACGAAAACTGCTGGATCCTCCATCAGCCCCCAAGTGCACGAAGCCCATCCTCCAGGATGAGGCCGTCCTGACTGTTGCTTCCTCCTGCCCCACAGGCACAGGATCCCCAAAGAGCAGTGGTGGCTGAAGCTGCGGCCGCTCATGAAGATCCTGGCCAAGTACAAGGCCAGCTACGAGGTCTCCGACTCCAACCAGCTGGAGCCCATGCCTCACCGAGGCCACGAGGAGCCTGCCGCCATCTAGACGCCGCTGGATCCGCCCCGCCTGGCCAGCGCAGCTCTGGACTTCCGTTTACCACCCGTCTTTGTAACACTTAAGTTATTTATCGGCACTCTGATGCGAGTACTGTTGATGTTAATACCTAGTCACAGAGCCCCCGTCCTGTGTCCTTCATCCCCACGGGACCCTAAGACTCCAGCACGAGCTGTCGGCTGTGTCTCCTACTGTGTCCTGCTTTAAACCGTGCGTAGCCAGTAGAATTAAACATTTAGCTCAAACTCCCAACTGTGGTCCTCTGTTTTTTTAGGTAGGAGTTTAAATCCTCAGGATCTGGGCAACTGTAAAGGTTTTTCCGGCAGTTCTGGGGGCAGGGATGGACACAATGTACTGGCAGCAGTGAACTAGGCCCTATGCAAGGACAAAGGCTCCGCTCTGACACACAAGAGAGGTGACCCAACTCCTTCTAAAGTGATGCCAGGCGTGGAGTTAAAAACAGAAACCAGCAACGTGTGTGTTAAGAACAAGGCCAGCGTACACGCACGGTTTCGCACCTGGCGCCCGCTGAGCCCCACACCCTCCTACCAAGGAAGCACGTGCCTGTGTCTGGTGGGACCCACAGAGCCCTGCTTCACTGAGGACAGGGAGCTAGCTGACCTACATCGGTGCTAAGTGAACAGCATTTCTGCCTCTTCTGTCGTCTGAGACGTGCAGAGAGCTGGAGGGTCACAGCCAAGGTCTGAACAGAGACTGAGAACAGCACGGTCCAGGAAGAACGAGCACAGACTGTGCTTTCTGTGGGAGATCCGTAAGGTCACAGACGCTCCCTCCCATAAAAACCGTGGGAGCAGCTTAATGTGCTTATAATCCGCCAGGCCACCCATCTGTTCCAGACTGTTCCACGGGTCTGTGGTGTGAGCACACTGGTTTTGTAAATCAAGGCACCTCAGGTATCTTTGTTCACTTATTTTTTAATAAAGGCCCCAGGAATTACTCTAGCAAAATGTCACTTAAAATGACTAAAGCACAGGTAGGTCAGGGCAGAGCATCTTTTATTTTTAAGTTTTTAAAATAAATGCTCCAGAATCAGTAAGGTAAAATAAGCGTTTATATCGTCAATATTTTAAAATTATCATCTGTGCAACTCTAGCATTTAACACATGATTATTTCAATTTATTCTAAGACAGAAGAGCTTGGTCTGACCAGCCACACAAGAATGAGGTATGAGCAAAATATCGGGGGAAACAGTAACTTCTCTCTTTCAAACTAAATTAGCTCAGGCTTCATGTTGAGGAGCCCCACATGCCTGTAGGTTCGGTTGAACTCCTGAGCACATCAGAATTACTCGCTATTTTATTATCCATGACGGGTCCTTGGCGATTTTTGCATTCTCTGGTCCAAGCAGAGCCAACCCGTGTGCGCTCTTCCCAATGCCAAGGTACCTGGAAGGCAGGTGGGGATACGTCAGGGCTGCTTCCCACCTTAGAAGCCTGGGGCAGCCACGGGAGGGCTCTGAACACTAGGCCACGTGGTACGTACTTGTTGCTCACGTCGATGAGATCCTCGTGGCTGACGGCGAATAGCTGCTCCCGGTGCACCTGCTTCATCTCATCCGAGAGGCCACACAGGAAGTGGTCCAGCCCTGACCATGAACACGCTAACTCAGGCCAGCTGACCAGGGCGGCAGACCCTGTTCTAAGGGCACCCGAGGGACACACTTCCACCAGAGGTCACACTGTTGACCTTCACGTGCCCACCAAGCCGTTCCCCTCGGGGGTGGAGGCCAAGTCAGAGTGGCTCCCTCCCCCAGACTCGGGCCTCAGATCACTCAAGCTCTGAGAGGACAGAATGCCACCCGCTGCGAGTGGCCAACACCGAGAAGCTCTGGTTCAAAGGGGACATCCGTGCATCATAAAGGAGGATGGAAGAGGGGTACTGTGGCAACACCAGGTATCAGGTGCACTGTGTTGTTCACTCCAAATACCTCTGTCTGAAGGAGCCACAGGGGCGTCCACGACGGAGAAAACAGAAAGCTTTGCTTCGTCAATGTCCTGCTGTGTGAACCTCCCAGCCTTAGCCCAGTCCACAGCCTTCGAGAAAGACTGCAGCGTCTCTGTGGAACGTGGATCCCTAGGAGACCAGAGAGACCCATGCTGACCTACTTCACAACCAGATTATTAAATACACCTCTCTGATTTTGCGAAGAGAGGAGATCAGGTGGACAGGGAAGACGACTCACGGAGAGACACTAAGAATGGTTGAGTAAAACCCCTCACATCCTGAAGACACACGCGGACTAGACGAATAACCCCCCATAAAGGGGCCGGAGAGCTCGACGCCCTCGCTTCCTGCTCTGTGCTCAGCAGCATGCGCCCCGCAGCGGACACCGAGGGCGGGGTCACAGCCGCGCTCCCGTCCTTCTCTACAAGCACACACACGTCCTCCAAGCGCCCAGGGACGTGGTGAGGCGGGAGCAGAGACAGACTGCATCAGAGGCGCAGCAAACTCATCCTGCCCGCAGAGTATTCTAAATACTCCGTGTCCTCGGAAACTTTCTAAAGAAAAGGGGCAAGAAGAGTCAGGGCCGTGACCACGAAGTGCCCGGCACCCCACTGAGCCTCTGTGCTGGACACGAGCCCAGAAAGCTCTCGGCCGGTCTCCTCTGTAACTGAATCTGGGTGTCTGGTAGCGGGCGTATTTAAGCCAAAGCCTCCCATTATGTACTCCTGCTCCTAGACACGGACAACCGAGAGGATGCTGCTGGGTGTGGTGACGCGCTGAGGAAATGAGAAACAAGGGGAAACACGTCTTCAAAGGCTGATCTCAACATGTAAGACAGTGACCCGCGGATGCTTAGTGGAGCCGGGGAGACGCGGCGCTCAGACTCACCGGTATGAGTAAAGTGTAAACACCCCGTCACGGCTGAGTCTGGCGCCTCCACCGTAAGCACCACCCTTTTCTCGAATTTCTGTATGCAAGAATTTGGCAGTCATCAAGCGTGCAAGGATCTTAAGACTGAAATGAATGATTAAAAAGCACAAGTTAAAAACCACAGGCCTGGCAGGGAAGTATCGGATGTAATATAATCATGTACTTGCTGTCTTTCTTAGGTGAAAACTCGCTGTCTTACATTGGGTAAAAACAAAAATACAGTAAGATACACCCTGGTCTCCCCTTTCCTAATGAACGAGAACAAACATGAGGAGAAAAACCTAAGATGAATTTTCAAACGAGGGTTGTGGGGAAAGGTGGTGGGGGACGCGAAGGTCCCTCAGACACGTTTAGGCCCTTCCTGGCTACAGCACACAGGGACACTAACAACCTGATCAAGGAACACATTACTAAACTTTATCACTCAAGGCAAACGTACAAACCATCCTTTCTCTAAATCCCCCCACTGGTGTGTGCACGGGTGTCTCTACCAAAACACAGAGAGCTCTTAACCAGATTTCTGTAGGTATCCGCCCTAAGAAAACACTCCAACAGAGTGACCTTCTGAGTCCTACACTCGCAACAGAAGTGCAGTTATGGGGGGTGCCCTGCAAAAGAAAAGGAATATTCTAGCAAGTACCTTCACAGGACAGAGAGTGGGGCCCTACTCTCCCCTGACTGGTCTAAGTCCAGACACTAACTGGAGGAGCAAACAGGTGTCCCCAGAAGACGGTGGTGGGGGAGCTGCTCATATCGTGGGTTTGTGGTGCCAGACCTATGCAGACTGGCTCCCCACTCCCAAACAGGGCCTGAGGGGCTTACCTGCCACATAATTTTGAACATTCTGAATTAGACAAGGAACACAAGGTCACTGCTAGAAAATTACACAGAGAAAGGGGGAAAAAAAAATCGATACTCCTACTACCCAGGGTCCTTCTTATAACCTCTCCATGCTTTAAATCTGTTTAATAGAATACGTATCCGTAGTCTGCAGAGCTCAACATACAGAACCCGTGTTTGTTTCCCAGGAACATGGTAACAAACTGACCACACTGCTGAACACCATCCTGTGAGTCTATTTCCCTCATGGAAACGTCCTTTCCCTTGAACCCAGAAGCAGCCTTGCGTGTCTGGGCCCTGCGTGCCCACCAGCCATCCCTGCCCTCCCGTCCCCTTCCCGGGAAGCCCCTGCCCACCCCTGGCCCCGTACCTGGCGTGGTCTGGGTCTGCGTAGGGGGCAGTCCTGATGCATTCGCCCATGTAGTTCACTGGGAATGGAAGCAGGAAGTGTGTCTTCATCTGGCACGGTTTGAAGGTGGGGTCCTGAGGAGGACAGGCCGGCCGTGTTGGCTCCTCCTGCGGGCTGCCCCCAGCCCCACTCGCCCCCACTGTCATCATGTGCTCATGGCTAAGGACAAAGCACTGGCAATCCTGTCATTCCACACAAGTGCTCACTTTACAATGGAATACTCCAAAACCCTGACCCGAGGCTTCAAAATACAGTTCCTCAATTAGAAACATTTCCTCCTACATAGTTTCCATCCATAAGTGACTGACCTCATCTTTGCATTTTCCCCCCCGAGATATGTTAAATCGCCATCCTCTGATGAACCAAACCAAGAGCCATCACCACCAAAGCAGAGCAGGGAGAGGGGTGCACGGTGCCCAGCTGATGGTGACACCCCCGACTCGGCAATCTGCCGTGCAGGATGAAGGCATGGGGAGCACAAGGGCCCCGGACAGGCCCAGGGCCTGCACCCCTGCCTGCAGGGGAGAGGCCCCCATGGCTGAGGCACCGGCCACCCCACACTTGACAGGGCACAGGTAAGATGGGAAACCGCTCTTTCCAAGGGGACAGGGACTATGCTTCCTTACCGTTATCAGCTTCCTTATGACTTGGGGGCCGCTAACATGGGTGCTTCCATTGGATCCACTGGGTGCAGGTTTCTGAAAATAAAATGTTTCCAAGAGAAATGAGAAAAATCCCAAACTCACCTTACATGGCTACGGTATGGTCTAGGAAACTCACGGCCAATAACAAGTGTTGGGGCACACATGCTTCCGTGTTTCCAGTAACACTGTTTGAAACAGATGGGATTTCTGTACGGGCTTCCAGACGGTCAGGGAGAAGGAGAAGCAGGCCGGCTTCTCAGGGACTCTGCTTCCGGCAAGACAGGCCTGTTCTGCCCGACAGGGTCACAGGCGCACGAGCATCAGCTCACAGTCTGCGGACTGTGCGCCTTCTCCAGGAGAAGGCTTCTGGACTGTTCTGGTGAGCTACATGAAAGCCGCTCCGTACGGTCATGGAAGTGGGCTAGGTATGACCCGGAGAACGAGCCCCGCGCTGCAGCATCCCAGGCCTGCTTTCTCGGGTCACTTTCGGGCCATTCTCGCGCTAGCATCACGGATCTCAAACCCGCCGCTCTTCCCCAGCAGGAGAGTGTTCACTGCGAGGCTCCAGTGACAAGGGAACACGGGACCGAAGGCTGTGCATTCACTTCTCTCCTGGATTAGCTAACACTGGGCAAGCCCCCCTGCCGTACTCTGGCTCCTCACGTGCCATGGGGGCATCGGGGGCATCATACCCATGCACGGCACAGTGGTGGGAACGAAAGGGGCCACCGGAGACCCTGGGACCGCACGCTGTGGCCGCCACCCCGTGAGCACGGGCTCACCTCAACCACGTTCAGGCGCACCGGCTTCCGTTCCGTTTTACTCTGACCGACGTTTCTAACGAACTTTTCTACTGCTTTTTCTGCCAGAGACATCTGCTGAGGCGTAGCATTCATGGAGCACCTATTCAAAAATCACAAATATCTAAGAAACCATCATTATAAAAATAAAACACTCTTTTACTCATTCGGTATTCTGCATGAGTAACACAAAAAAGGGACCACTACATCCATCTGGTATCAAATCATGTTTAAAAGTATTAAGAAGAGGGCGCCTGGGTGGCTCAGTTGGTTAAGCGACTGCCTTCGGCTCAGGTCATGATCCTGGAGTCCCGGGATCGAGTCCCGCATCGGGCTCCCTGCTCAGCGGGGGGTCTGCTTCTCCCTCTGACCCTCTTCCCTCTTGTGCTGTCTCTCATTCTCTCTCTCAAATAAATAAAATCTTTAAAAAATAAAAAAAAATAAAAGTATTAAGAAGAAACAGGAGCCCGATAAAGAAGTAATACAACCGTCTCCACCGCACTTTCAAGTTACCAAAAAGGCTTTGCCATCAGGTCTGGGCCAGAGCCGGGGCAGGGCCATCGGGACGCCAGGAGCACACTTCTGACGTCTGGCCCCGTGGAGAACACGGAACACAGATCTGCCTACCATGCCTTCGGACTTACATTATCGGAAGGCAGAAAACCTACATGACTGTCTAGAAGAAGAATCAGCAATGTGAACATGTGAACTGGTCATTAAAGTGGAAAAGTTTAAGTTGCCAAAAAATTCCTGTGCTCTCAAAAACATATTTGTATGTAATTCTTCTAAATCCCACAGAATCACAAATCCTGCTGTCATGTGCAAGTTACTTGAATGGTACAGACTACGGACCGTGTCTCTCTTTTCCTTTTTGGCCCTCACTCCTGAATTTAGTTTAATAGCAGGTACCACCATATTAATGCTAACTACATTCCAGGAACTACACCAACTGCTTTGGAAACTGTCATTTATTCTTTGCATAAATCTACACAGTAGTGTTTTATGGACAAGGAAGCAGAGGGTCCGAGTGGTTAAGTGCCCCAGGCAGTGGACACCAGTGCTGCCATCCCGGATGGTCGTGGATTCCCGAGAACTGACCCGGGAAGATACTGGGGATCTCGACAACGTACTACAAGCTAATCTAAACCTGTGTCCTTGCTAGTGAGATGCTGAAAATACGGTCAATCACCTGAACATTTCATTCGCACTCACAGCCCTGAGGGCTTAAGGCTGTGTGTGACCGATGTCAGATGTTTTCTTACCATCAGGGAACTGTTCTCATGAGAAACTGCGTTTTTACTCTGCTCTTAAGCAAGCTAACCTTTCCTGTCTTGCAATTAACTTCTGGAACCAACATAACTGAACACTTGCAAGAAATCTACTTTCCAGTTCTAGGATTAAATTAGCTTGCTTTCCTTCCCACCTTCCACAACATTAACTAAACTTAAAATATTTTTTCTCATAAAAAATGATTTCTTGATGATGATAACATCTGAGGTCTAGAATGAATTCTATGACCTACCCCAAACACTGTCTCTGAGCTAAAGTTTATGTAACCACAGCTTCAAGTGAGAAGAATCTAAAAACTACACTTAAGGAAACGGGAAGAATGAGAAGATGTCTGTGCAGAAACAGCCCGGGGTGGGGGGAGGGGTGCTACCTCATGTTGTCACAGTGTAGTACGTGTTCCTGGATGTGCGGGAGCTTTCTCAGCACCGGTCTGATGTCTGTCATTTCTGCGATCCTCTTCATCAGCCTCACCTGAGCCAGAGAAACCGACATCTGGAGACAGACCCCCAGACAGGGGGTGACCAGACACTCCTGCCCAGTCTGGAAACCAGACAGCCTCGACTCGGGAATCCGGCTGGGGGACGGGTGGGCTGGGAGGGGTAGGACAAGGAGGATGAATTAAGAGAATCTTTCCCTATAAAATTTGGTCAGAGTTAGCTTTTCTGGGATATAAACAGTTTGTCACCAACTCTGGAAGACGTGGCTCATCACCTGATCCATCCCACTGAAGGTCTCCTGCAGGTCTCCCGTGGGCGTCAGGGTCCTGGTCGCCCTGACAGACGCGTAGAGATGCCCAGAGTCTGGGATCCCGTTGGACAGCTCTTGAGCGGACATCTTAACCAACACTCTGAAGTGTTCTTCTTCTTCAAAGCACGGGCTTTGTAAAAAGAAAAACGTATTAAGTTCCTGGAGACCCACCCATATCCCTTTCAATACCATGGAAAATTAATTACACGTAAGTTTTCAGATGATGTAAATACCCCCAGGAGTTACAACTAAAATCAAGCTCAGAAACCAACAACCAAGAAATGAGTAAAAACTCCTACTTTCACAGCACTTCAGACTCAGTCCTCTGATCTAGCTTCATGATTAGGTCTTTATAAGTAGTTACCTGTTGAATATTTCACTCCACAGATGCATCATATCTGGTAGGTTCCTATCGAGGCAGAAAGATGAAAAAAGCACACCCTGAATCATGAAAGAAAGAAAAGAAGAAATTATTTAAGAGGGAAAAAAAGGATGCTGGAGACGTGCTCTGGAGCGCGCTGGGACGCGGAAGCATGACGCTACCTGCTCGTAAGTGTCCAGATGCGCGGCGTCAGGCAGCACGTGGGGTGAGGCGGCCATCCCGCCCGTCTTCAGCTCTATCTGCTGTGCCTGCCTCCTGTAGTCCAGAAGGCCACAGCCCAGCCTGTCAACAGCAACGGAGGGGCCCTGGCTGGCAGCGCGGTCTTGGCCGCAGGGCCAGGGCCGCAGCCTCCATTCTCCGCGCTACGGAGGGCAGCCGTGCGCCTCTCCCCGCGGATGCCGGCACGTTCAGGGAGGTCACCGGGCGGCTTCCAGGCTGTGTGCGCAGGGAGCACTACGCTCTGCTCCGGCGGGGCCGAGCTTGCCAGTCTTCCTAGCGCTCCCGCCCTCCTCGCCTCTAGAACAGCCTGGCACGGACGGCATCTGCCCACATGCTCACGCTCACAAAGGAGAGCTTTTTGAGCTTTTAGGAAAAGCAGAAGTCGTCTCAGGTGGGTGATGCTTTTCCAAAAAACATCCTGTGCCCAACATAAGAAGTAACTCGGGCCACAGCGACACTCATGGGGTCCCCCGAAACGGCTGTGCCTCAGAAGGACCAGCAGGGGGAGCCGCGGAGGGCAGAGAACATGGAGAAGGTCCAAATGAGGGGTCTTCCCCAGACACCTGGCAGGGTGCACGGGACCCACATCCTCTGGCTCCTACCCCAGGAAGGCTGTGCGTGTGGCACGAGGGGTGGCCAGCCTACCCCCTACAGAGTCTCCTGGCCCTCACCGTCCCGGCACATGGGAAAGGAAATGTCCGGGCTCCGACTGCCTGCCCCTCAGCCCGGCACCCTCAGCCACCGGGACCCAGCAGAGGAATGGCGAGGTGCGGTTGCGTGTACTTGCCCGTGTTCTCACATCGACCCAGACACCAGCTTTACAAGAGCAGTAGCGATTACAGTTAGCTTGGTGGAGAAGGGCACACAACCCGGCCTCTCAAGGTTACCCCGTGCCTACACGTCAGATTTAGTTACTTACATTTTCTGATTAAAAAACAATCATTTTCACAATTTTAAAAGGAACTAAGTTGCTGAGATAGATGTAACTGTATTACCTTGTACTCTAGGTTTATAAATGGTTTAAAGTTCTACATTTTAAAATGAAAATATGGCTTTTGTAGGAAAAATTCTCAACAAATATATTACACATTTTACTTACACAGTTTAATAACACTATGGGTTTTTTAAATTAAAACTGTATGCTGATAAGTGATTGCTGATACACTAAAAATAACTACATATACAGAAAAATCCAGGGACAAAATATGCAAAGATGCCCTGATTCCACAGTGTGTGTGTCTTACTTGGTGAGGACGCTGCAGAAGAGTGGGACGTAGGGCCTGAGCTCCTCGGGGAGGGTGTGGAGGCTGGCGAACGCTCTGAAGTACACCACGCCGTTGGTGGGCTGAGCACAGTACTGCACGGGGGTCTTGCCGGCTGGAGAAACAAAAGGCAGCTAACTTTTGAATTGTGAAATCACTCTTTAGTATTTTTAAAATGCTGGTGCCTTTCAAGAGTGTTTAAACTTTCTCTCAGCAAAGACTACTACCTGTTCATAGTAAACACTGAGACAGTCTTCAACACTAAAATAACACACGCCTTTGGAAGGGCTGGAACAGGAGCAGTGTTCTTTGGGCTCTGAGGCTGCCCTGGTGCTTGAGCTGGCCCAGGCCCGCCTTGCCCCACCTCCACAACCCCTTCGTGCAGCCCTGCATGCTGACACGGGACTGAGAGCTCCCGCCTGCGACACCCGAACCCACTCTCTCACCCATCTCAAATGCTGTCCGCCCCCCCCAGGTCTGATGATCCGCTGGGCACCTGGCACCCCATGGCCTCCGGGGTCCCGACTCACTCAGGGGCACGTGCTGCGTGCTCCAGTCCTTCCAGCACCAGCATGGCACCGCAAACCAGCAGAGGGGGCGGGGCACTGACTCACAACCTGTCACTCACCCTCACTCATTCTCTTCACCCCTTCACTGATAAACCAAAGCTGGGGGAGACTAAAACACAAGTGGGATGCCACCCCCACCCTCCCGAGGCCTGGTCCAGAAAGAGAGATGTCACCCATGCGGGCACCCCCATGCGCCAGCCGTGGTGAACAGAGGAGCTGGGGGAAAGCAGGAGCGAGACGCCCTGGAGGAGTGCGGCAGGTGGTCGAGACCTCCCCCGTGCAATGCCGGGGCACAGCTTGCCCAGGATGGACTCCGGCCCCGACGGGCTGATGCTGCCCCCCACCCCCAGAGCCGCGAAGCAGGCCGGGCCAGAAGGAGTTCGTCCCATGCAGCCCCGCCTGAGCCAGATCCCCCTGTGGTTGAGGAAGCAGCGCCCCCGCCAGGGAAGCACAGAGATCCCAGCACACGAAGTCCGTGGGCAACGCACGGGAAAACCCACCCACACGCCCCGTGAAGAGCAAGCCTATAAATAGAGCACAATGAGCTGCCTCACAGAACACGTCCCCCCGTGGCGCCTTCTTCTGTGGACCGACCTGCCAGGGCCACCTCCAACTCCGTGAGCGGCACGCTGGGCTCGATGTCCGACACCTTCAGGGCCGGCAGACAGGAGGCGTCCTGAGGTCGGCTCTGCTGAGTCTGTAACTCTAAGCCTAGAGACAAGCAGGGGGAAGAGTGCTCAGCACGGCCACGGAAAGGTCTGGGAAGGTCCGCCGCCGCCGTGCTCCCATACCTGCTTGCAGCGGCTCCCGCGGACAACCGGCCAGCCCAAGCGGCCAGCAGCGTGCTTTCAGCTCCCACTGCTGGTGCCCGGCAGACCCCTTCCCAAGCGCGGGAACCTGCCGCAGACACCGTGCTTTCCTGAACTCTCCTGTCCTCGCTGGACGCACAACTATTTTGCTTGGGGGGGGGGGCGGGCTTTGCTCAAGCAGTTTCCCCTCCACCCCCACATTTTATACTGAATCCTTGAAAGTTCAACCCACTGTTTCCAGGGTTTTCAACCCATTTCCTGCTGGACTGAAATTTAGTAACTTTTATACTTGTCTATTCTGATTTCATCTGCACTAATCTCAGCACCATGCTTGTGTCATCACATAAATTTCACAAAACTCTAGAAACGCTCAAGTACAGCTTTTCTGGGCCTGAGCCCTCACCGATCTGGTAAGAGGGGAGAGACCCCTCCTTCCCGGAGTCACAGAACCGCCCAGCCCGTCCGGGAGGGAACCCCAAAGGCTCGGCACATGCACCCGGTGACAGCAGTGAAAGGTATGCGAGTGAAGACCCCCCAGTTTACAGAGTTCTGTCAAACAAACAGATGGGAGCTTCATTTCCCACGGCAATCTAAGGAGCTAGGCTGAGCTGGCCTCCAAGTCCGCCTCCCTGAGGTCCCCGAGCACCTGTCCCTTTGGGGGACCTGCAGGGCAGCCCTGCACAGGTCAGGGACTGTTGCCTCAAAGGGCTCAGCCGCCCTCCCTCCGGCCCCTTGGGGGACCCCTCCGGGAGGCACTGAGGAGCAGGCTCCGTGAGTTACTGCAGACTTCCCAGGGCCCTCCGTCACCTGGGTGTTTCCGCCATCAACTACTGGCGGACCCCTGCCCCTCGACACCTCTGGGGTCTGTATGCGGGAGCCTGCTTCCTGCCGCCCCTGTGTCCTGATACGAGACTGGCCCAGGCCCACCCGTCATCCTGAGCGGCACCCTTCCCCCAGACAGCTCCTCTCCAGAGCCCCAGGTCGGCACAGCCATCCCCAGCAGCTTCTCCTCGGCCAGGCAACAAGCTCCCCATGGCAGGCGCTACAGCCCTTCACGACAGCGCATGACCGCTTACACAGACATACCCCAAACTGGAGGATTGTTTCAAGGTCTTCATAAATTAATTTCCCATTCCCACTGTTTTCACTGGTGGTTAGCTACAGATTAAACTCTGATTGCAGATTGCTCCCACGGAAGTCCACGACTGAGACTTACTGACCTGAAATACCCCTTAAATGCACTAGCAGGGCCTCCTACCTAATGGAACTCTGTGGTGATCTGTAAAATAAAAACACGTTTTTGTAACACAGGCCTCCATCCACTCACATGTGGGTGTGGACCAGAGTACACGGGCTTTCTTAGAACCAAGCCCACCTCCATGGCCAGGGCAAGAATCTGACAACTCAGGGAATGTACGATCTGTTGCTTAGGCCTGGAATTATGTTCTGTGCTATAAAGGGCTTTAATCAAAAACAAAATGGGTGGGACTACATCAAACTAAAAGCTTCTGCACAGCAAAGGGAACCATCAACAAAATGAAAGTCAATCTACAGAATTGGGAGAAAATACCGGCAGGCCACATCTGATAAGGGGCTAATATCCAAAGATATAAAAGAACTTATACAATTCAATAGCAAAAAAAAAAAAAAAGCCCAAATACTCTGATTAAAAATGGGCAGAGGACTTGAATAACTCATTTTCCTAGAGAAGACATATAGATGGCCAAGAAAAATATGAAAAAGTACTCGGAATCTCTCATCCATAGGGAAATGCAAATCAAAACCATGATGAGATATCACCTCACACCCATCAGAATGGCTTAAGTCAAAAAGACAAGAAATAAGTGTTGGTGAGGATGTGGAGAAAGGGGAACCCTCTTGCACTCTGGTGGGAATTCCAACTGGTGTAGCTACTCTGGAGAACAGTATGGAGGTTTCTCAAAAAAAAAAAACCAAACATAGAACTACTATATGATCCAGCAATTCTGCTCTGGGCGTTTATCCAAAGAAAACAAAAACTCTATCTTGAAAAGGTATCTGTACCTCCATGTTCATTACAGTGTTGCTCACTGTGGGAACAAACTAAGTGTCCACCGATGGATAAAGATGTATATATACAATGGATTATTATTCAGCCATAGAAAAGGAAGGAAATCTTGCCATTTATGGCAACATAGCATTATGCTAAGTGAAATGAGTCAGACGGAGAAAGACAAATACTGTATGATCTCACTCATATGTGGTACCTGAAAAACCAAACACCAAGCTCACGGACATGGACAACAGATTGGTGGGTGCCAGAGGCTGGTGGTTGGGGTGGGAGGAATGGGTGGAGGGGGTCAAAAGGTGCAAACTTACATAAGTCATGGGATGCAATGCACAGCATTGGTGACTCTGGGTAATAGTGCCGTGTTGCATATTTGAAAGTTGCTAAGAGAGTAGATCTCATGACTTCCCAGCACAAGAAAAATAAATTGCGACTGGTGACAGATGTCAATGAAGTGCGTTGTGATCACTGCACTGTGCATGGTACTACACACCTGAACCTCATGTTAAGGTACCACTGATACCTCTAATTGCTTGCTTACTTAAATCCACGTGGTATACTGGGTTCCAATAGAGCATACATCAGATACTACAGCTGATCTTGGCCAAAAGGCCAAGAAGCAATCAATATCTCAATTTAGAAAAGGAAGATGGGACTTGTCCACTGGCACTCCCGCAACAGAAGTGATTATTATGCAATTACGTTACTCACGATTAGCTATTAAATGTATGAAGAGCTTAGAATAGCTGTATGCAAAACAGGAACTCTGAGATAGAGAGTAAGAGGTTACACGCTGAAATTAACTCTGCCTTGACGAGATTAAATCATCTGAAATTTAGCATTACTTACTTCCTATCTAAAGCCAACTCTACCACCTGACAAACCTGATAAATCCCTCACGTAATCCCAGCCAACTACCACTTTGGTGGGGTAGGTGGTGTCTGTGTGTCCTGTATACCTACTTTGGTAGATTTTAATATATCATTTACATATGACAAAATCCACAGTTCTAAAGATATAATTCAATAAGTTCTAACAAATACAAATAGTAATGTAATCATCACATCACGATAGAGGACATTTCCATCCCCCAGAAAGTTCCTTCCTGGCTCCCTGCAGGTGACCCCCTGCGCTCACTTGCCTTCTGTTAGTAGAGTTTTATCATTTCTACAGTTTCATATAAATGGACTCACTGAGTAGGTATTTTTTGTGCCTGCTAATTTCCCTTAGCACAATGCTCTTGAGATTCATCAATATTGAGTGTATCAGCATTTTGCCCCTCTTTATGGCTGAGTAGTATTTCATGGTATGGATATACCATGTTGATGGAAATGTGGGTTCTTTCAAGTTTGTGTGGACATACACTTTTTTTTTTTTTTTTAAAGATTTTATTTATTTGAGAGAGAGAGTGAGAGAGAGAGACAGCATGAGAGGGGGGAGGGTCAGAGGGAGAAGCAGACTCCCTGCCAAGCAGGGAGCCCAATGCGGGACTCGATCCTGGGACTCCAGTATCATGACCTGAGCCGAAGGCAGTCGCTTAACCAACTGAGCCACCCAGGCGCCCTCAAGTTTGTGTGGACATATACTTTCATTTCTCTTGGGCAAATACTCTGGAGCAGACCACTGGGCCTAACAGTCCGTGTGTTTAGACAATAAGGAATTATGTAACTGACTCGGTTTTCACCCACGCCTGCACCACCCGGACCTGAGCAGGGCCTCATGACCAGCATGAGGCCTTTGTCCTTCACTGAGACCTGCCTCTTCTGAACTCAAAATCATACTGTATGCAGTGCTCACTTGGCAATTCACTATGGATCACAACATAACATATATTTTAGTGGCATATTAGAGCCCCTGGTAAATAGCAAGTACTTATACAATTTGTAATTGAATAAACCTTAAGCAGCTACAGCAATCCCCCCCTTATCTGTGGGGAGCATGTTCCCAACACCCCAGTGAATGCCTGTAACTACATGGATAATACCAAACCCTATACATACTTACCTATAATCGAGTTCAAATTAAAAATTTGGGAGTTCAACTTAAAAATTTGGCACAGCAAGAGTAACAGCTAATGATAACACAGCAACTGACAACAATAAATTGTCGTAAAGTTACGTGAACATGGTCTCTGTGTCGCTTTCAAAATCTCTTGTTGTGGGCGCCTGGGTGGCTCGGTCAGGTAGGTGTCTGCCTTTGGCTAAGGTCATGATCTCAGGGTCCTGGGATCGAGCCCCACATTGGGCTCCCTGCTCCGCAGGGAGTCTGCTTCTCCCTCTGCCCCTCCCCCAGCTCGTGCACGCTCTCTTTCTCTCTCTCTCTGATAAATAGAATCTTTCAAAAAGTCTCTTGTTGTGACGAACGGAGGTGACATAATGCCTCCGTGGGGAGGTGAAGTGAGGTGGGGATGCAGGCACTGCGGCGCAGGAGGCACCACTGACCTTCTGACGACAGAGCAGAAGGAGTGCCATCTGCCTGCAGACCGCGGGTGACCACGGGTAACTGAAACTGAGGACCGAGAAGGTGCAGATCGGGGGGGGACTAGTGTGCCTCTTTCCTACGACTCTTGCCTTTCCTGCTAAACTACAGGATCGGTCTCCTTAGAATGAGGGCATGGGGATAAAGCCATCACATCCAACGTTGACCTTCGTTGGTGCCCAATAAATATTTGTTAGTTGAAATGATACTTGCCTCCAACTATCCACTCATTTTACAAAGTTCACTGGGTTCGGGTGAAGGCTAGGGAGTTAGGACAAAATTAAACATCTGACCTTTTTCATAGATCTGCTGCTTGTCTTTCAGGGAAAGAGTGTCGACTTTTTGCTTTAGTTTTTCTGTCTCCATCCATGCTTGCTTCTCGGGATACTTGTCATCGGGTGTCATTGACAAAGTCAGCTTGTGCGGATTATTCTGCAACAGGTACAGCAACAAAGGCCAAGCTGAAGCAAGATCTCCCTGGAGCCCAGCAAGCTGACAAGCCTCCAGTACCGCACTCTGGGGCAGGAGGAGCCCGCACGTTTCGAATAGCGATAACAGAGCATCCCTCAAAGGTGGTCCTGTAGAAAGCCCCTGAGGCACAGGACACCCCGGCCACCACAAAGTAACTGTCATTCACACATGCTGGGGTTCTCACTATTAGGATGCTTACTGTTACGGGTACTATGCCTAAACCCGAAACGTACCAACATTCAACATTTTCTTTATACCTTACTTGTACATGTTTTACATTATAAATCTTTGACTTTAGTCTAAGTCAAAAATAACAGAATAAAATAATATAATCTTTATCTAATCATCTTTAGAGTATTAACTTCTCAAAGATTAGAACTAAATTCTTCATTCAGCATTTCATAAATTATGAGGACGAATTAAATGTCCACCTAATGTAAAAACGTTAGATTTAATGTGCTTGTCTCATTCATTTCAACATGTGTACGAGTGTGCGTGCACACACACACGCTCTGCTCATCTATTTGTGCTACTACAGGGAGGAAAGAGAACCAGACTACAGTATAAACTTTATATTAAGTACCTTGGAGTAACAGAGATGGCAGGTCAAGCGCCAAACCTATGCCCCGTGTCCATAATGGCATAAAGCACAACGATGCTGCTCTTCATAGACACTACAGTCCAACCCCTGTGGTAAAGCCTTGTAAGTTCTACCACATTCATGACAGTCTACCAGGGCATACACACCAAGTACAAATGCCCTAAAGCAAATGTAAACAAATGAGCAAATGTCAAAAGAATCCATCATAAAAACAACCAAAATATCCACACACTCAGGTGATTGTTCTTGTATTCTCAACAAACAAAAGTCAAGGTACCAGATGGCTTCTCAGGTGAATTCTACCAAACATTTAAAGAGTTAACAACTAAGTTCCTCAAACTACTCCAAAAAAAAACCAGAAAGGAAGGAAAGCTTCCAAATACATTCTATGAGGTCAGCATTACCCTGATACGAAAACTGAAGACACTACAAAAAAGAAAACGAAAGGCCATATCCCTGATAAAAATCTCCAACAAATTATCATCTGCAAACCACATTCAGCAATAACATTAACACGATCATTTGCCAACAGATGCAGAAAAAGCATTTGACAAAAATTCAACATCTGTTCATGATAAAAACTGTCAACAAAGTGGGATTAGAGGGAACATATCTGAACATACAAAGGCCACATATGGCAAACCAATAGTTGGCATCATATTCAATGGTGAAAACCTGAGAGCTTTTGCTCTAAGATCAAGAATGAGATAGGAATGTCCGATCTCACCACTTTTATTCAGCACAGTACTGGAAGTCCTAGCTGCAGCCACCAGACAAATAAAAAGGCATCTAAATTGATAAGGAAGAAGTAAAACTTCACTATTTGTAGATGACATGATACTAAACATAGAAAACCCTAGGCTCCACCAAAACAACTACTAGAATAAATGAATTCAGTAAAATTAATACACAGAAAATGGCTGTATTTCTACACATCAATAAAAAAGTAGCAGAAAGAAAAATTAAGGAAACAGTTTCATATACAATTGCACCAAAAAGAATAAAATACCCAGGAATAAACTTAACCAAAAAGGCAAAAGACCTGTGCTCTGAAAACTATGAAACACTGACGAAGGAAATTGAAGACGACATACATGGAAGGATCTACCGCGTTCACAGACTGGAAGAATTCATATTGTTAAAAGCCTATACTACAAAGCAATCCACAGATTCAATGCAATCCCTATCAAAATACCAACAGCATTTTTCTCAGAACAAGAACAAATCATCCTAAGATTTGGAAGGAATCATAAAACACCTAGAATGCCCAAAGCAATCTTGAAAAGGAAGAACAAAGCTGGACGTATCATAATCCCAGATCTCAAGCTGTACTACAAAGCCGTAGTCATCAGAACAGTATGGTACTGACACAAAAACAGACACTTAGGTCGGCTGGAAAGACGGCGGTGGAGGGACCCTCAGCTCAACGCATCCCACAGATACAACTAGAAACACTCCCATCAACGTAAATAACCCAGAGAAGAACCTGAAGACTGGCAGAACAAACTCCTCTCCAAGTAGAGAAGAGGTCACATCAGAGAAGGTAAGAAGGGCAAAGACGCAGTTTGGGAGAGAAACAAACCATGGCTGTCCATGGCAGGGAGGGAGCAGGTGATGCAGAGAAGGGTGAAAAACAGACTTTCACACTGGGAAGCCCACCAATGGGGAAAATGAATCCCCATAACATCTGCCTGTAAAAACAAGAGGGGCTGAACATTGAGTTCTTACACCCAGTGGGACACAGAGTCTGGAATCTAAAACATCAGCATCAGAGGGTGTTAGGAAGTGGAATCCCACCCTTAAAGAGACAGCACTTCAAACAGCTGTGCAGATCTAGCATGGAACCAGCAGTAGGAGAACCGCCAGGGGCAGACAGGAGGGACGGTGATTTGCTCATCTCAGAGCGTGGCCCAGAGAGACAGGGATCAAGGAGAGTTCCCTGCAGGAACAAGGGAGCTGGTCGGCACCACTTTCCTCTCCCACCCCCCACATAAACAATGGCCATCTGTGGGAACCAGGACCACACTGACACGCCTTACTTAACTGGCACCAAGCCTCACCTCCACCATGCTTTGGTGGATCTGTCCTTCCCAGCAGCACTCATCTCAGTCCTGGCGCTGCGGGCGCCCTCCCCCAGAAGCCTGGCACAAACCCTGCCAACACCACATCTCTGATGCATGTGTTTTGAGGGAATTCAGTTCTAGTGGCAGTGGGGGCAGGGCTCCACTTCACAAGCAAACCACTGGACACCTAGTTAAAACACACCCCACCCCTGCTGGGAAACAAACACTGCCTACAACAGGCAAAGAGAGCCTCGAGAGAAAACTGGACTCAAGGAAAAAAGAGGCCAGGACTCAACAGCAAGGCACATGCAACACACATAGGAGAACATTCCCTGAAGCTCCAGGCCCTGGGGAACAGGGGACACTGCACTGCAGGGCACGCCAGGACCTCTTCTTCATAAGGCCACTACGGTTAAGAGCAAGAGAAATAGCTGACTTTCTTAACACAAAGAAACACACAGAGAGTTGACAAAATGAGGAGATGGAGGAATATTTCCCAAATGAAAGGACCAAACCACACCAAGAGACCTAAAGTGAAAAGATTTAAGTAATATGCCTGACTGAGAATTTAAAGTAATGATCATAAAAATACTCACTGGACTAAAGAAAAGAGTGGATGACCTCAGTGAGACCCTTCACAGAGAGAGAAAAAAGAACCAATCAGAGATGAAGAACACAATAAATAAAATAAAAAATACAATTGATGGAATAAATAGGCTAGATGAAGCAGAGAAACGAATTAGTGACCTGGAAGACAGAGAAATGGAAAGTAACCAAGCTAAACACATGAGAGGGAAAAAATTACGCAAATTGAGAATAGTCTTAGCGAACTCTGATTCCCATCAAGCAGAATAACATTCGCATTACAGGGATCCTAAAAGGAGAGACAGAAAAGGGGAGAGAATATTTATTTGAAGAACTGATAGCTGAAAACTTTCCTAATCTGGTGGTGGGGGGGAACAGATGACAGATCCATGAGGCACAGAGATCACCCCAAAAGTTCAACCCAAGGAGGTCCACACCAAGACAAATAGTAATTAAAATGTCAATACTGATAAAGAAAAAAAATCTCAAAGCAGCAAGAAAAAAGAAGACGTTACATACAAGGGAACCCCTTAAGGCTACGGGTGAATTTTTTAGCAGGAACAGGCCCAAAGGAAGTGGTATGACATATTCAAAGTGCTGAAAGGGAAAAACATGCAGCCAAGAATACACTATCCAGCAAAGCTATCATTCAGAATAGGAGACCTAAAGAGTTTCTGAAACAAACAAAAACTGTAAGAGTTCAGGACCACTAAACTAGCCCTACAAGAAATAGTAAAGGGGACCCTGAGTGGAAAGGAAAGACCATAAGTGAGATCATGAAAAGTAAAAAACACAAAAGCAGTAAAAATAAGTATTTCTGCAAAAATCAGTCAAGGGATTCATAAAAGGATGTAAAATACAACACCACATACTTAGGGAGAGAGAGGTAAAGAATGTGTTCAAATTTAAGTGGCCAGCAACTTAATATAGACTGCTATATGCGGATGTTATATACAAACCTAATGGTAACCACAAATCAAAAACCAGGCATAGATAGGCAAAAAATAAAGAGAAAGGAATTCAAGTATATCACTAAAGAAAGCCAACAAATTATGAGAGCAAGAAGAAAGGATCAGAGAAAATCTAAACAAACAACCACTAAACAAGAAACAAAATGGCAGTAAGTACATACCTATCAATAATTACTTTGAATATAAATGGACTAAACGCTCCAATCAAAAGACATGGGGTGATGGAATGGATAAAGAAACAAGACCCACCTATATGCTGCCTACAAGAGACTCCTTTCAGACTTAAAGACACCTGCAAATTGAAAGTGAAGGGATGGAAAAACATTTATCATGTAAATGGAGTGAAAATAAAGCCAGGGTAAGCAATACTTACATTACTTAAAACAGATTTTAAAACAAAGACTGTAACAAGAGGCAAAGAAGGGCACTATATCATAATAAAGGGTACAATCCAACAAGAAGTCATAACGTTGTAAATATTTATGCACCCAAATCCATACATAATACAGTTAATAATATAAAGGAACTGGGATGCCTGGGTAGTTCAGTTGGTTAAGCATCTGCCTTCAGCTCAGGTCATGATCCCAGGGTCCTGGGATCAAGTCCCACATCGGGCTCCCTGCTCAGTGGGGAGCCTGCTTCTCCCTCTGCCTCTGTTGCTCCCCCTGCTTGTGCTCTCTCTCTCGCTTTCTCAATCTGACAAATAAATAAATTTAAAAAAATAATATAAAGGAACTGATAGTAATACAGGTCACATATTAGGGCATAAAACAAGTGTCAACAAGCTAAAAAAAAAAAATCATACACCACAATCAAGTGGGATTTACTCCAGGAATCCAAGGGTGGCTTAGTATTTGCAAAGCAATCAACATGATACATCACATCAGTAACAGAAAGGATAAAAATCATATGATCAATTCAAGAGATGCAGAAAAAGCATCTGACATGCATCTTTTCTGATCATAATACTATGAAACTAGAACTCAATCACAAGAAAAAAATCCAGAAAGAGTACAAACACACGGAGGTTAGGTAACATGCAACTCCACAATAAATAGGTCAACCAGGAAACAGAGGAATAAAAAAATGCATGGAAACAAATGAAAATGAAAACACAATAGTTCAAAATCATTGGGAGGCAGCAAAAGCAATTCTAAGAGGGAAGTTTCTAGCAATACAGGCCTATCTCAAGTAAGAAAATTCTCAAATAAACACCCAACCTTACACCTAAAGGAGCCAGAAAAAGAACAAAACCCAAATTCAGCAGAAGGAAGGAAATAATGAAGATTAGACCAGAAATAAATGAAATAAATAAACAGAAACTTAAAAAGATCAATGAAACCAGGAGCTAGTTCTTTGAAAAGATCAGCAAAATTGATAAACCTCTTGCCAGGCTCATCAAAAAAAAGAAAGAATGGGGCGCCTGGGTGGCTCAGTTGGTTAAGCGACTGCCTTCAGCTCAGGTCATGATCCTGGAGTCCCGGGATCGAGTCCCACATCGGGCTCCCTGCTCAGCAGGGAGTCTGCTTCTCCCTCTGACCCTCCTCCCTCTCGTGCTCTCTCTCATTCTCTCTCTCGCAAATAAAAATTAAAAAAAAAAAAAAAAGAGTACCCAAATAAACAAAATCACTAATGAGAGAGGAGAAGTAACACCACCACCACAGAAATACAATTATCACAGAATATTAGGAATACCTACATGCCAACATATTCAACAACTTAGAAGAAATGGATGTATTCCTAGAAGCATATAACCTCCCAAAAGTTAAAAGAGAAAGAATTAGAAAATTTTAACAGGCCAATTACTAGCAATGAAATGGAAGCAGTAATCAACAATCTCCCAACAAGCAAAAGTCCAGGACCAGATGGCTTCACAGGCCAATTCTACCAAACATTTAAGGAACAGTAAGTACCTGTTCTTCTCAAACTATTTCAACACATAGACGAGGAACAAAAACTTCCAAAGTCATTTCATAAAGCCAGTATCACCCTGATACCAAAACCTTATAAAGACACCACAACAAAAGAGAACTACAGGCCAATATCTGATGAATTTAGATGCACAAATTCTAACAAATTATTAGCAAACCAAATCCAACAACACATTAAAAACATCATACAACACAAGCAAGTGGAATTTATTCCAAGATGCAAGGGTTGGTTCAACATTTGCAAAACTATCAACATGATATGTCACGTCAGTAAAAAAAAAAAAAAAGAGAAACACCACACGATTTCAGTAGATGTAAAAAAAAAAAAGCACTTCACAAAGCACAACATCCATTCATGATAAAACCCTCTGCAAAGTAGATTTGGAGGGAACATACCTCAACATAATAAAGGCTTTATATGAAAAACCTACAGCCAACATCATACTCAATGGTGAAAAATTGAGAGCTTTTCCCCTAAGGTCAGAAGCAAGACAAAGAGGTCTGCTCTCACTACTTTTATTCAACATAGTACTGGAACTCCTAGCCATGGCAATTAGACAACAAAAAGAAATAAAAGGCATCCAAATTGGTAAGGAGGAAGTAAAATTCTATTTGCAGATGACATGATACCATGTACAGAGAAGCCTAAAGACTACCCAAAAAAACCGTAGAACTGTTAAGTTAATTCAGCAAAGTTGCAGGATACAAAATCAATGTACAGAAATCTACTGCATTCCTTTACACTTATAATGAAGCCACAGAAACAGAAATTAAGAAAACTATCCCACTTGGGGCGCCTGGGTGGCTCAGTCGTTAAGCGTCTGCCTTCGGCTCAGGTCATGGTCCCAGGGTCCTGGGATCGAGCCCCACATCGGGCTCCCTGCTCGGCAGGAAGCCTGCTTCTCCCTCTCCCGCTGCTTGTGTTCCCTCTCTCGCTGTATCTCTCTCTATCAAATAAATAAAAAATCTTTAAAAAAAAAAAAGAAAAAGAAAACTATCCCACTTACAAATGCACCAAAAACAGTAAAATACCTAGAAATAAACTTAAGAGGTGAAAGACCTATAGTCTGAAAACTATAAACACGGATAAAAAAAAATTCAAGATGATGCAAGAAATGGAAAGACATTCCATGGTCATGGATTGGAAGAATTAATATTGTTAAAATGTCAATACTAACGAAAGCAATCTGTTTATTTAATACAATCCCTGTCAAAATACCAAAAGCATTTTTCAGAGAAGTAGAATGAACAATACAAAAATTTGTATGGAACCAGAAAAGACCCTGAATAGACAAAGCAATCTTGAAAAACAAAACAGGAGGCATCACAACTCCAGACTTCAAGCTATATTACAAAGCTGTAATAATTAAAACAGTATGGTACTGGCATAATAACCATGAACAGACATTTCTCCAAAGACATACACATGGCCAACAGACACATGAAAAGATGCTCAACATCACTCATCATCAGGGAAAAACAAATCAAAACCACGAGATACCACCTCACACCTGTCAGAATGGCTAAAATTTACAACACAAGTAACAAGTGTTGGCAAGGATGTGGAGAAAGGGGAACTTTCTTATGCTGTTGGTGGGAATGCAAACTGGTGCAGCCACTCTGGAAAATAGTATGGAGGTTCCTCAAAAATTAAAATGGGGTGCCTGGGTGGCTCAGTCAGTTAAGCTTCTGCCCTGAACTCAGGTCATGATCTCGGAGTCCTGGGATCAAGCCCCATATTGGGCTTCCACTCAGTGCGGAGTCTGCTGCTCCCTCTCCTGCCCTTCCCCCTGCTTGTGCTCTCTCAATTAAATAAATAAAATCTTTAAAAAAAAAAAAAATGGAACAACCTTATTTACGATCCAGTAATTGGGTTGTGGTCTCAGGGTCGTGGGATCGAGCCCCACGTTGGGCTCCATGCTCAGCAGTTAGTCTGCTTGGGGTTCTCTCTCACTCTCCTTCTGCCTCTCCCTCCTGCTCTCTCTCTAAAATAAATAAAAATTCTTTAAAATATTATATGAACTCAGTTGATAAAGCAGTGGCAGGGTTTGAGAGGACTGACTCCAATTTTCAAAGAAGTTCTACTGTGGGCAAAATGCTATCAAACAGCACCACCTGCTACAGAGAAATCGTTCGTGAAAGGAAGAGTTAGTCGCTGTGGCAAACTTTATCGGTGTTTTATTTTAAGGAATTGCCACAGCCATGCCCAGCTTCAGCAGCCACCACCCTCATCAGTCAGCAGCCATCAACATCGAGGGAAGACCCGCCACCATCAAAGATTATGACTCACTGAAAGCTCAGTGTTTGGCATTTTTAGCAGCATTTTTTAACTAAGATGTGTATGTTGCTTTTTTTAGACATAATGCTATTGCATGCTTAACAGACTACAATGTAGTGTAAACACAACTTTCCTCTGCAAAGGGAAACCAAAACATTCATTTGACTTGCTTTATTGTGATATTCGCTTTATGACTGTGCTCAGGAACCATACATGTGCTGTCTCCAAGGAATGCCCGTAGAAGGAAAGCTGGAAAACCAACAAATACATGCAAGTGACACAACACATTGTTAAACAACCAGTAGGTTAAAGAGTAAGTAATAGGGGATCTTAGAAAATACCGGGAGACAAATGAGGCTATGAACAGAACATACTGAAAACTGCAGGACGCCACAAAACCAGCGTGAAGAGTGACACATACACAGTTAACTCATACATTAAAAACAAAGACCCATGAGTAACCTATCTTCACACCCTCACTAAAGAGAAAAGTGAGATCAAGCCAAAGCTAGCAGAACAAAGAAAACCATAAAAATTAGATCACAGATCAGACTTTTTCAAACAGATCAACAAAAGCGCCAAACCTTCAGATACACCAAAAACAAAGGGAGACTCGACTAAACTCCGACGTGGAAAAAGGCACAACAGCACGGATAGTACAGAAATAAGCACAAGGGAATACTCGGAAGAACTGTACGGCAACCTGGACAACCTAGATGAACAAACTCCTAAAACCACACCACCTTCCAAGACTGAAGGGTGAAGAAATAGAAAACTCCGAAGAGATCAGGAACTCATGAAGACACTGAATCAGTAATTAAGACAAAAAAAAAAAAAAAAAGCAAAACACTCCCAATGAAGAAATCCCAGGAATGTATTTTTTCATGGGTGAATTCCACTTATCTTTTAATGACAAGTGAACAATTCTTATCAAAACCTTCCAAAAAATTGAGCGGATAGTATAATCTCTCAACAAAACAAAACAAAAGTGCCTACAAATGTTTTTGTTAATTAATACACATGCATAATATCTTCATATATAAAAGACAAACTCACATATTCATATAAAAAGCCAAATTTCATCAGAATGAACTAAATTTGTTAATATGAGCACTAATTAACAATTAAGAAATTACGTTACTTATTCATAACATAAATTCTCCAATTTCCTTACTTTAAAATACTGTTTTACTTTTTCTTGCAAAAACTGTGGATTTTCCTTGAGGCACTGTCTGAATCGAGCCACCTGACTCCCCAGCTTCAGGAGCTCCACAGGGTCCCCATCATGATTCCAGCAGGAGGCGATGTACTGCAACCAAGAACGTAACATCCACATGCACATTACACTACGAACTCTACATCAAACGTAACATTTTATTAAGATCTCAGTTTCTGTATTTAAAAATACCACAATGATTGTAAGAAAAATTAAGTCATTTTTTGGTTAGGAAAATTTTAAATCTGTTTTTTCTCTAATAAAGTGAAGGACAAGTTCTAAAATTTTCAGGAGGGATGCCTAGGTGGCTCAGTCAGTTAAGCGTCTGACTGTCGGTTTTGACTCAGGTCATGATCTCAGGGTTGTAGGATCGAGTCCTATGTTACGTTCTGCACTGGGTGTGGAGCCTGCTTAGAATTCTCTGTCCCTCTAACTGTCCATCCTTCCCATGTATGCTCTTTCTCGCTCTCTAAAACAAATGACTTAAAAAAAAAGGTATCAGAAAGCCAATAATGCTTGTAAAAAGACACAATGTATTATAAAACTAAATTAAATTTGTATCATATCCAAAACAGCACAACTTTCATGGTTCAAATGAATGGTGCTATGAATATTCACCTGTTTCCAGCGCTGTCAAGTACCCACTGATCACAACAGTAAAAACAAAGTACAAACAGAAGAAGATAGAGGAGAAATTACATACGGACGTCAGGGTGAGTCCAAAGCTGACAGACTGATGCTTCATTTGTATTTCAATTTTATGAAGGAGAGCCTCAATTCGGTCCTCTTCAAATCCCTTCCTAAAGAAACAGAGAAAAAAGATGTTAAAAAGACAATCAATACCCATGCGAAAAGGCAGCAGAGAGTCTTTAAACTATTTAAGTGAACCACTGTGTATTTTATGAGGTAAAGAGACAGCCAAACACAGGAGGAGGTAGGCTCCCTCCTTGGACAGTGTAAGAAGAGTGTGAGGACGGTGTGAGGACAGTGTGAGGACACTGTGAGGACGGTGTGAGGATGGTGTGAGGATGGTGTGTGGACACTGTGAGGACAGTGTGAGGAGAGTGTGAGGACACTGAGGACGGTGTGAGGATGG